TTTTTTCTATATTTTACGTCACATTAGATGTTTTAGATATGACTTAAGACACTCCTAAAAAGCATAAGACCTAACTTAAATTTGTTATAATGACAAATGTGTATAGGTGATTTGAGTTTGATTTGTATTTTTTAAATAATTTTTGAAGTCTTCATTGGTAAAAAAATATATAGTAATGGAAATGGAGTTATTCTATAGATTCGTAATTACTAACTATTACCACCTTTCACGATAACTAAATGCTCCATTTATGTTACTACATGAGTTTAACTCTTTCTGAATATATATTGCTTCAAATAATATTTTTTTCACTTCCTTATGCAATATATTTGGAACCAAATAATTCTACTTGTTCTTGCATCTTGATATGTTGTTTCTTTTCATTTGCAATTATTTGGAACCAAATATTTTTTTAATTCTGGTATTATATGATCACATATGCATGATATTGAGTTTGAACTGATACAATCTTTAATTTGTTCAGAAATAAAGGTGGAAGGTCATAGTGACATGAATGAGAGAAAGAAAGTTTGATTAATGTTGTGATAGGAGGATCTGGAGAGGAAGAAATAGAGAGAAGTTCTATCGGTGACAACATAACTGGTGGTGCATCTGTAGATGAACGTGGTGAATCATCATCGAAGAGGAAGAAACCCGTTTAGGCATAATGCCGATCAGATTCAAGAGCTTGAATTGTAAGTATAATTCTAATTTATTTTGTACTTGTTTATTTGGTTATGTTAATTTTGATTTTTTGATCATTGTTTATTTTATACCATTGAGAATAGATTTTTCAAAAAGAATTCACTTCCTAACAAAAAAGTACGGCTAGAACTTGCAACAAAATTATCCATGGACATCAACCAGGTGCAAAATTGGTTTCAGAATAAAATAACCCAAGTGAAGGTGATGCATATCACATTTCTTTCCCTTAATTTATGATTTTCTTATGTGAAATTTGTATAATTGATTATAAAAATAAATTGTGTTATTTTATCAGTTGCAATTGGAATTGTACGAAAATAAGACTCTATAGCAAGAAAATGACAAGCTTTGCATAGAGAATATTGTAATGAAGGAAGCCCTGGAAAATTCAATTCGTGACAATTTTAAAGAAAACATTGATGAGAATCAAATAAAGATTGAGCATGACCAATTGGAAGATGAAGTTAAAAGGCTTACCGCCCAAGCGTACAAATTAAGCTTATTTAATAAAGATGTAGTGCAGGATAAGATGGTGTTATTGAATCTTGCTATGGATGCCTTGAATGAGCTTTTTAGGCTGTATGAGAATGATAAACCTCTTTGGGTAAGCAGTTTGGATGGAGGTGGAGAAACGTTAAATATTAAGGAATATGCTCGATTGTTTTCCCCATTAATTGGCACGAAACCTGAGCATTTCACAACGGAAGCCACAAGGGCATCAGATACAGTGGTTGAGACTAGTTTGGCATTGGTGAATACAATAATGGGTAAGGTACGTAGGCTCTTCATTTTAAATTCAATGTTTTCCTCTGTCACATTTTTTAGAACTATCATTTCCTTACCACCTACCCCTTATTTGATGTGTATAATTAGTTCTTTTTAATTAGTTGTACTCTTACTTTTACTATATTTGACAGATCTTTTATTAGTTTTTTTTAGTGGTGCTTCAATTAGTTGTTGCATATTATTTTAATCAATCAAATTTAACTTCAAGTGATGAAGACAAGTATGTGTTAACATGTTATATTTTTATTTTTGTTATGTACTGTATTGTATATATGCAGAGGCAGTGGGTAGAGATGTTTCCATGCATTGTTGGAAAAACATATACTACTGATGTGATTTCCACTGGCATAGGTGGAAATAAGAGCGGTTCTCTGTTATTGGTATTTCTATTTACTTATTATTTTGATGAAAATTACATATCTTATTTATTTTATTATTCCATGCACTAACAACTTGAAAATAATGATATGCAGATTAAAATCGAATTGCAAATCATTTCTGACCTAGTTTATGTTCGCGAAGTAAAATTTCTTCGCTTCTGTAAGAAACATGCTGAAGGTGTCTGGGCTATCGTCGATGTGTCTGTTGACACAATTCAAGAAGGTTCACAACAGAGCGAAAATGAAAATTGTCGAAGGTTCCCATCTGGCTATATTTTACAAGATATGCCAAATGGTTATTGGCAGGTAATTAAAAAAAAATTATCTTTTTATTTTATATTTCATAGGCCTTTATATTTTTGTAAATTCAATGAGCTAGATCGCTCATATTTTATTAATTTTATTCTTGTTGATTTATTTTTATTGATTTTTTTTATAATACAATCT